TAGAAGAGAACTTAGCATTTGCAGACCAGCTCCTGCCATTGTTAATGAAAACTTTGCTCCTGAATGAGTTGGATTTTGATGTAGGAAGTTACATCCTGTCTTGAGTTCCTAGTAACTTTCACTGAGATTCTGCCTTTCCCATTAAAACAATTCCAGAGAAATATAGGAGTGTAATTTATTTTTCTTTCTTGAGATTGACATCATCCTTAATGAAATGAGGAAAATCTTGACTGTAGGCAGAGGAAACCTTTTTAAATTGGAGTAGAAATAGAAATAGTCTTGAAAGAAATGTGTGTCTCCTCAAGCGCAGGAAAACCCTATGTGCCTCCTTACATGGGTTTTTCTGTGTCAACAGCCCCCTGTTGACACAGAATCAGTCACTCCCTAATAATCCAGTCACTCCTTATGCATATATGCATATATGCTAGGATGTTCTTGCAAAGCTGTTCCTCCCCTAAAGCCTTGCTTTATGAAAATACGGTAATAAAATACTTCTAGGCACCAAAAGGCATATCCTGAACAGCTGAGTTTACCCAGTTCTGTCATGAAATAGAAGGTCAGATAACATTTGTTTATAGTCATCTATTAATAGAAAAAGGATTAAGCTATTTAAACAAAAGTAACCCCTTCCAGTCATTAGCCAGAAAACTTGAAAAAGAGCTTTTGAATGAGGAGGATTTTTAAAATTTACAGACTGGTGCCATTTTAGTTATTGAAAATGTGAAAATGTGCCAGGGATTAGACAATTTAGGTGCCTTTTTGCAAGTTCAGAAGCTGTCAATATGAGATTAGATTCTGGCCAGAACCTATATCATCCTCAAAAGATACTTCACCTCCCCAGAGGATAACTGGGTATAATCTGAAAGAAATATCTGATGTGTCTCTTTATGTACAAGGATTCTATATTTACTGACTTCCACTACCTCTTTATACACAAGCCTCTTGTACTGTACCACAGCCTTGTGCCTGTGAGCCAATATAATTACATACTGTAGTGTTCTGTGTTTATTTCTGGAGGTTATTTGCTTGTATCGTGTTTATCTTGGGTACTGTAATGTTTACCTGTACAACCTCAGCTCTGAGTGTGGCACAATAATTTCTGTAACTTCAAACTGTATATTAATTTTTTCTTCAAGCAACAAATAAAAGTAATTTTCTTAAACTTGTGTTCAAAATGGAAACTTCTGTGTGCAAGTTAGTATTTCAGAGTACAAAAATAACTGTATACCTGAAGGCTAGTTCCAGGGAAAATCACTGGTGCAGCAGCTGTGACCAGCTGTGTGAAGTCCTTGGCCTGTTCAGAGTATGTGAAAATACTGAAAAACAAATTGGTCAATAGAAGAGGTGATTGCATGAACCATTAGCTTCCTCTGGAAGTGTAACTTTAGCTGCTTACCCCACAGGGAGCAGGGAGAGAGTCACCATCAGTGTGAAATGGCACAAACACTTGGTCTGGATGTGTGTGCAATACCCTGGCACCAAAGGCTCTGGTTGGTTTGTAAAGGAAAGAGTGTATTGCAGAGTGCAGTTATGAATGTAACCCTTTCTGAGCTGAATGCTTTGAAAACCCAACACTTTGAAAACCAATAAATGAGACAAATACTAGCACAAAACCATGTAAAATTTTGGAACAGTTTGACATTGTGTTAGTTCTGGGTTTCTGCGCCTTTGTCTTCAGCATTTTAGCAAATAAAACTTTTGCTGCCATGAATGAGTTTTGCCCAAGGAAGGCTCAAAAACTTCATCGTAAATACATCCTTATCTCTATTTGCTTAAACTTAGTCAATGCATGCAAGATATATGATTCCTGCAGGCTTTTAGGGCAGCAATTACCAGATCAGAAGAAAGATAAAACCTTGCATAATTGTACAAATCAGTGTAGCTTTATGAGGAGACTCATGTCTGTATTTATTGCTTTGGTCTCAGTATTCAGTAACTGAACTATTACAGAGATAAATTTGGTTTTCTAGACTATGTGCACAAAATAAAATCCAGCAATAAGAATCTCAATAGAATCAGCTTCACATTCAAGCATTTACAGAAGGCCAGCCAATACTCATAATTCATGTCCCACAATAAGGTGGTTGTGTTTTTCCTTAACACTGTTCATTTTTTTCCTGTGCTCCTGTAAGAACAAGTGACTGACAAGGGCTAACTCCTGTAGAGAAAACTGGCATGCCAACTTTATTCACATTTCTAAATAATAATATCCTGCTTCAACTAACTCTTGAGAAGGATTTTGTTTCTAGATCTACTGAATGAACACAGGTCTCACTGAGTTCAAAGCATGGTAATTTTCAGTATGAGATGATTTAACAGAGGAAAAAAGTAGAAAAGTAAATACCATAATGTGGATAAGGAGGAGAGTTATCTCTGGGTCTTACGTCACCTTATACTTGAGATAAATTTACTCAGATGAGTTAAGACCTTCACTGTTAAATGTTTGCATGTATCTATATATGACCAAAATCCTGGTGAAGTACATAAACCTGATCAAGTGTTAGAGATGGATGTTTTTCTTGCTTTTTTTTTATTGTAGTTCATTAGACCAGTGCAGTTCTCTTGAACCTACTGAGACAAAAATGTACAATTAAAATCAGAACCTGGCTTTTGTTAGTTTAGTTTTTTTTTTTAACTGTAATGAACCTCTAGTTCTATCATGTCATCTTATGGTACCAGCTGAAAGCTTATTCTTACCCGTATTCATTAAGTGGCCTTCGCAGTCCCTGACTACTTAGTGACAATGAAAGACAAAAACCACAGACAAAATCCTGGAGAGTGAGTGCAGCCTTTCTGGAAACATGCTGAACATGTGCAGTGGCCAGAAAATGTTGTATCTTCAGGATAAATAGAACTTCGAACAACCAGCTTGTATTTTATTTTTAGGTCATTTCATGGAAAATTATAGTCATTTTGGCAAAGAACATTTCTCTCAAAACAAGAGAAAACACTTACAGAAAAGGGAGAAAATGCAGTCCAGAGATTAACTGAGGGTTTAAACTCTTTGTGCATGGAAAACAGGACAAGAAGACTAAAATACAAGTAATGATTTTGCATAAATATTTAGCATAAAAGTCCAGACAACTCCTTAGCAGCTGTATCATCCGACTTTTTATCTGTGAGAGTCAAAAAAGCTAAATAATGGAAAAAATATTCACTAGGTAATTTTCTAAAAAAGCTGCGGTGGAACTCATTGGGGGAATTATTTAATTGATATTTCTGATCTGGCTATCCATATCATTGACACTGGCATGTTACTACTGGGAGAAACAACTTACATCAGGACAAGTTGTTTCTCATGTGTACTGAATTCTTCAACATAGGCTAAGCATGGCCTTTCTCATGGCTTGCATTATTTATTGGGACAATTTATATGAGAGAAAAAGAGATTGTGATATGGTGGACTTTGATGGTGCCTCTTACAGTGGAAGCAACTGTTACCTGATGGGATCCAAATCTCATCCCAAATTTTCTAGTGACACTGCAATATTTGGTATTTCCTTAAAACTCTGCACTCTAAAGATAAATAAATACACCACCATACTACCATTCTTAACCATTCTTGCCCTTCAGTGACCTTCAAAAGGTAAGCTCCAGATACTCAAAAGCCAGAAAACGACAAAATGTGCTTAATGATTTTTTAATTTCATTATTTCATTCTGTGGTTTTGAAGCAATTTCACAAGGAGATTGGGTTCCGCTTGTTGAAAGCAGCATTACCAATCCTATGTGAACACGGCATACATCATCCTGAGAAGAAATAGATGGTTTTGCCTTGGGTCTATTTTGGAGGGACAGGAAATGGTGCAGGGTGAAGTGTCCATTTGTGAGTGCATCTGATCCTGATGGACTTTTTAATGGAGCATGGAGTTCTTCAAACAGTGGAGATGACTCTCTTTAGAGGGAATATAAAGATGCACATCAGTGGCAGGGAGAGAATAGAAAGCAACCACTCTGTTTCCCGTATAGCACATCTTGCTAATTAGAACAGGGAGGAAAAGGTAAATAATGCTTTCCTTGGAAAGTGGCCATGAGGCACGACAGCTTTGAAACTTAAACTTGTTGTTGCCAACATTTTATAGCCTATTAGATGTCACTCTCTGATGGATCTGACCTGAGGGGCATGAACTTTTTGCCTTCACTGGAGGCTGAGGAATGAAAAACCCTCTGAACCTTTTGCCAACCTGTGCTGCCCCCTGAAGGCAAGCATACGATGCTTAGATTTACTCCAGCACTGAAGAGACCGCACCTTGCCTTATTCCTCCGTGTGCATTTCAGAGGACCAGCAGGATAAAAACACTAATCTAATTATTACCCCATTAATTTAAGCAACAAGAAAGTTCCACCCAAACTACAGCAAAGTGAATTGTATTAAAAAGAAAATCATGCAAACTTACATAAATGAAGCTTGTCAAAAGACTTGCTTTAGAAACAGAGTTTGCTCAAAGCATTCAAAAACTATACTTATTTGAGTAAGGAGAACATAGGAATGTTTAAAGAATCTGACTCAAACCCTTTAACAGCATACAGATTTAATTTCTGAAACATTTCAGTTACACCATGATCTTTGGCTTAAGTCCTACATTTTTGTCATGCAGAACTTCATATGAAGGGAGTCTCACAGCAAAATTAATCTCCAATACAAATCGCAAAGTTTTGCAGTTGCATATTGAAAACTTTTGATCACGGCCAAGGGCCAGCAATCTGTCTTGAAATGTAAGAGGAGGAAGCTGAATAAAGTTGGCTTCTGGACTTGGCACTGCATCCTCAGACCACAGACCTCCTGGTTTGCTAGTTGCTCTGAATGAACTCCAGATGTGTGGCTGTGGCAATCTCTCTGATCTAAACTCCACACAGCACCAAATATCTCTGCTGTCAAGAAATACCCACCTGCAATTTGTGTATTCCAGGCAGCTGACCTGCAGGTGGTTGGGTGGTATCACAGCTGGAGAGAGGTGCAAAAAGCTCAGTATTGCTCAAATACAAATCAGCTTTCCTTCATCAAAGAATGAAACATTTATTTACAAATTGAATTGGGTAGATGAATAGAAGTTTTTAAAAACTGTTAAATGCAATACTGTAAACAGGAAATGAAGCACCAGTCATTGTTCGGTAAATGTAACGCATCACAAAAAGCCAAATGATTCAGTAATATTATAAAAAGAAATATCTATGATACATAGTCCTTCTGGGGAAGAGTTAGTAACCTTCCAACCACTCTCAAGGAAGTCACCTTTTAGCAGACACATGGCATTTGTAGCTGAACAGCAAAAGACCAGAAGCTATACACAAAGCATTGTAAATTTTGACCTTACCACATTTCCCAAACTAAGCAGGATCAGGACAGGAATCCCTGAAGTCCACCAGTAATCAGCATAGACCCAGTAACAAAACTATGCGGGGCAGGTAGCAAGCAAACCCTGAGTAGTTACCAAGCAAATCCAGCTGCAATTACACAGCACTATGGTGGTGGTGGTAATTTTTAACCCAGACGTACATCCTCATCACTGGAGGCCAGTTAACTCCATGGTACTTTGACAAGTGTGGACAGTTGCCCCAGTGGCTGGTCAGCATTTCAGTAATTAAAACCTTCTTTGCTAATTATCTGATGAAATTCTAACAAAACACAGTCCTCCTCTCCTACCCAACTGCAAGTTAGCACAGTCATACGTGGTTTTAGCCCTTGCTGTCTTTTCAGCACACTGAGCCACTGTACACCTAAGGAGGATTGAGGAGAAGAAAAATAATCAGCACTTAAATGAAAGAATGTTGTTGACATCAGTAATAACAACATTACTGGAAATGTTCAGTCAACAGCAATCTTGGATGTTGTTATGTTTTCAGTAGGAAGAGGAATCCAAACACTGTATTATAACAGTACTAAGTCAATTTGTGTCTCTCAGCTTTCCAATTTAAAGCTAATGAAATTCTTGATGCACAACTGGGAATAGACAAATGTGTTTCATTACCAGGAGTCTCCTCTAAAAAAAACCCTCCCAAAATGTCATCATACAATTAAAATTTTAAGTGATAAAACTTCAAAAATTAACATAATTTGGCTATTTTTATGACTATTTTACTTACAAAATGAATTAAACTTACTCTGGAAAGAAGGGATAATAAAATTAAAGGGATATCAAACTTTCAATACTACATTGATGTCACAAGAGTATTTAAACAAACACATAGACACTATTTTTAACAGCTTTATTGGTAATAACTGTTGAACAAAATTTGTCTCTGGAATATCATAACAGGAAGAATTACTTTGCAATTATATTTTGTTTACAGTATTTTAGCAAAGGGGGTACATATTACTATTTTCTTGGAAAATAAACATTCTCAAAATCTGAAATTGATACTGATTTTAAAAAGCAGCACAGTAATATTCCTTGTCTCCCAGCAAGAGCCAGATATACAAGTCTCTCATTTTTTCTCCATGTGAACCACAGAGTGACAGCACTATAAGGTTTAAAGGTCATGTTTGCATTTCTACATTGCCTAACTGCAACTCTTTACAAAATACCTTCAGAATAACAGCAGTAAAACCAGGAGGATAAAGAAGTATCTGAAAAGCTCATTGGCTTAATCCTTTCAACCACAGTAACAGACTTCTGACACTGTTAGGGGAATTTCTCTCCCAGTAGAAATGTATGAGTCATAGAATCAAAACCCATTCCAAGCACAGCCGTCACGTTTTTTGTTCCTTAAAGAAGTCTGTTCCTTTCAACTCTTCTGGTAGATAGTCCTGCTCTACAGGTTCCTTGTACATGGGGTTATATTTGTAGCCTTTGCCATAGCCCAGGTTCTTCATGAGCCTTGTTGGGGCATTTCTCAGGTGCAGCGGAACAGGTGGCAGAGGTCCCGTGTGCATCCTCAGACATTCTTTGACGTTGCCATATGCCCTGTACACCTCTATAGACTTTGGTGCTCTGGCAAAGTACACTACACACTGTGCTAGAATCACCTGGAAACAAGAAAAGGGAAAATGTTAAATCACTTCTTTTGGGCTCTTTGGGAAAAGGTCTGTTATTCAGGTTGTTTGTATAGCATGGCAGGGGTTATGTTTTTAAACTGACCCTCTACCTGCTACTATAATATGAATACTATTATTTAACAACAACACAGCTTCCTGATTTTCACTGCTAGAAAACAATAGCTACTTTGGAATATATTATTTTGTTTATAAGAGAGAGAAAAAAATGGACAGAGTAAAATGATATAAGTTCACATATCATATTTTGACAATAAATACACAGTAACATAAAGTGAATTTTATTTTACACTACAACACATATTTTAAGAGCTACAATGTTCTCCTGTCAAAGAAGGGGCATGCTGAATGAACAAGTAACTAAGTTTGCTTTGTCCTTGCAATCAGTTACATTTTACAGTTACAGACAGGTTTTACAGTTTGCAGTACTTTCAAATCAGTGAATTAATGAAGCCTTTACCTCACATTCTGGCATTCCAATAAAGTGACAGCCTTGATAAGCAGCAACTGCTTGTGTTAAAGCCAGAGGATCTGCCAGTCCTACAAAAAGGGATCAGATAAAAGCAGGCTAAAGTTTATGTCTCTTTTTTTTTTCCAATTTTAATTTTTCCTCTCCTGTGAGATATCCATGCAAATTTCAAAGTTGCTTTCTCAGATGCTGGAATTTCTGGTACAATATCATAGCAGACATAAGATATACTCCCTCCGTCCATAAGCCTTCTCCCTTCTGTCCCCCCTCCCCAAAAAAGAAAGGTCTAAGTCATGGGTACAATTTATGGATTGAATCTGCTGCCACACAGTGGTGGCCTGAGCAGTAGCTGACCAGATATGAATCTCTCACCTTTCAGAATTGATAAAGAAATGGGAAAGTACTGCTATACAGACATAGCTTCCCCAGATCTCCTAACTCTTTCACCCATCACACATGTTGTAAAATTGTTGCTGCACCTTCTACTTTGGATAAGTCAAGCAAGATGCCTTACAACTAGGGAGCCAGCTATCAAATCTGAGGTTTTTAAGTCAGGGTAGGTATTCACCTGCCAGACTCATTAAAAGATCAGACATCCCTGAAATACACTCTCTGTGGCACAAGGTTACTGGAGATTTACAACCACCAGAGTTTAAAAGAATCTATATTAATACACTGCCAAACCTGACCTCAAAAACATGTTTCTACTGCAGCAGGTAATCTTCACAATGACACTGCATGTAGGTCTCTGCCTGCATATACAAAGCTTTTTGTTGAATGTGGGGCATTTCAATATTTTGTACCTATTTTGCATATAGCAGTTTTTTTTTTTTTTTTTCTCAAAACCCAATTTTCAGAAACCAGAAGCTTGGCAGATCTTCATTCAACACAGAATTCCAACATGAAATATTGCAAATACTGACCTATATCTTCACTTGCAAACCTCACCAGCCTCCTTGCCACATAAAGCGGATCCTCACCACCTTCAAGCATTCGAGCAAGCCAGTAAAGGGAAGCATTTTCATCTGAGCCTCTCATAGACTTGTGCAGGGCAGAGATGCAATTGTAATGTTCTTCTCCTATTTACAATGGGGGAGAAGTGTACAAAGCTGTTAGGAGGAAATTACATGAAATGCATTCAAGAGAACAGAATATATTTTACTAGATCAGTAAACCTAACCTTTTCAAGTTCTAAACTTTTTCAAGTTCTTTTTACGTATACGTGGTTAGCCTTCATTAATGTTTCCAACCATTTCAATGCCTTCATGGTTTGCCACATGAATCATTCCACTAACTACATAAGCAAAACAGAGCAACTGTAAATGAAAAGAAGGTGTTTTTTTAAAACACTGCAAGGCAAACAATTTGGTTTTTGTACCCTTTTTGACCTTTCCTTCAAAAAAAAAAAACAACCCAGATATTTGAATCAGTTAGGAAGAAGACTCTATTTAAATAGCTCCTAATTGCCAAAAGAGTAAAATATAAGCACATATAAATGATAAAACTTGAAAATAAAATGTGCAGTAAATCAAACATGAGTTTGATGTATTATATGGGAGGGGTGGGGGGAAATGAAATGTTGCTGTAGATATACAGTGATGGAACATTACACAATTTGGAGAGAAAAGAATTGCAGCACACAACCCTGGCAAATGCCTAAGAAATCCTGAGTTCAGTTGTGGAAACCTGCACTGCTGGAAGGGTCCTGAAAACTGAAAGCAGATGAAAGAAAAAAACTACACAAACAATATTTGAAATGCAAGACTGCTAAATAAGAAGTGAGAAGACTGAATGAATTACAGGGATTTTTTTTTTAATATTAAAGTTTAGTATTTGATTAGGTATGGACTCCAAGAAGAAACAAATCTATTACACAGATCTTTTAAGGATACACTTAAAAATAGAGGTTCAATATTACAAACACTAAAGAAGAGCCTCCCTGCTTACAATTTTTCTCTGTGCGGCTGGTTTTGATTCTTACACATTTATTTTAATCAAACTTGCAAGAGCATTTTGGCACAGTATTGTTGTTAAACTTTCCATGTAATCTGCCCTTCTTACTTTTTAAAGTGCCTGGCATTCCTTGGCTCACAGCTAAGCATGTATTATAAAGGCAACTGGCTGCATGCACAGCCATCTGTTAATATTTCTCCTTTTCCTCAGGCTAAAAGGATTTACAGCCTGAGGGCCATATCAGAACACACCACCATCACTTGTAGGCTCTGCAAAATAAAAGGCTGCATGGATGCGTTTGAAAACGGAAATCCCCACAATGCTGCAGTTGCTCCTTTCACAGCCAGCAAGACCTCCACCTCCCAGGTCAGAAACTGGGTCCATCTTCCTCCATCTCTGCTCATGCTGGAGTGCAGTTCTGCGGAGAATTCAACACACGCGATGCTGGCAAACACAGGCCGACAGACAGCTATTTTTGCTAGGACTCCACACAAAGAGCCCTGTGGTATGCAGCCATTACTCCTGCCAACACAAACAGCATGTCCATGTTCCATCATGACACTTGAGTTAGTAGCAATAAACCTAAGCAGCTGAACTCGCATCGTCCTCTTGGAAGAGGCGTCTCTTAGTCTCTTAAAAGCAAGAAAGATCGTTTTTAAATATCTGCAGAGGTTGCACTCGCCCAGATTCTTCTGCTGGACTGCTTTTTTATATGCTGTTTGGGCTACTGTAAAGTGTCATATTTGGAGACACCAGCTGGAGAGGCAGAAGGAATGCAGTGGATAGGTTGGGACTAGATAGATATACCTGCAGGGGGCTTCAGATTCTGCAGGCTGAGAAAGGGAACAGTTTTCTTCTCCCTTTATCTCCTTCCTCACAAAGTTAATTTTGGTGACTGAGCCATTAACATAATGACAATATTTATACACAAAGACTTGGGACTTCTTCAGAAAAACTGCATTAAATGCAGTTTCAATTAAAGACAAAATACAGTGGCACATTGGACAGAAGTGTTATGTTTCCATTTTAAAAAATATATTTTATAGATATCTTATTTGAGATACCAGAAGCAGCTTAAAAAAAACTAGAACTTTTAGTAGACCTTTATTTATTAGCTCTGTCCCTCACTCTGGTTAGTCAACATATAGATTTTGGCCTTATCAATTCAGCTGAGAGACAGACACATACCAGCTTATCTATCACTCAGATACCTCTCGAAATCAAAACTATAAAGAGTTTTTGGAATCAAAGTGCATTTGCTCTATGCAGTTCCCACAAAGGCAAATACCTTTCTGTAACAAGATACTACACAAGAGGCTTTGTGGAGGGGAGGATTTTCTAGTGTCTAACATATACAGACGCACAAATCTTGTTGATATATGCCCATAAACTGCTTTATGTGCTCATGAAGAGTTTTCAGGCTAACTTAAGATGCCAATTTATCTAGAGACTTATTGGTAGACAACTGGGAAAAGGTGTCACTCACTGTCCATAATTAATATTTGGAGTTCTTAAGCCATTCCTTTTTAGTAAGGTAGTGGGCAAAAGTAAAATCACAGTCCCCACCTCACAGTTTTCTATCTTAGCTGCTCATTAATAAAGGGCAGAAGAAAGTCTTGAAAGTAGGACTAGAGCAACAGCACAGATAAACAGACTTCTCGTTCTGGTCCAGCAGAACAAAATTAAGCTGGAAAAAAAGATGGCTGCTGGCAGTGAACTTTGATTAAAGTTGTTTCTTTGTCCTTCCAGCTAAACATGTCTGCACACGTATCAGAACAACATCCTAACAACCAGATTATGAATATTTTCTTCCCTAGATTACTTGACAAAAGTACAGAAGAGAATGCCCAACTACATGTATTTGGCAAATTTTGCAGAGGGTAACAAAAAAAAAATAATAATGTAAAATCAAAATTCCATATTTACTCAACTTTGAACACTAATCAATTATATGGTGCTCTCTACATGAACACACTACATGAACATGTATGTTGCTGCTATCATGATTAGACAGCATCATGTCCCTCCACTTTATAAGGCTGAAGCATTTTATTTTAGAGCATTGTAGATTCCAGCACCACAACTGTGACTCAAAATTTATTAGCTAAAACATGCTACAATTAAAAAAAACCTTTATATAGTAGCCTCTCTTCGGAAGCCCTTTGTACACAAAAGGACAAACAACTTACTCTGCTATGGACAGAAGTGCTCAACCAAGACACGGACTACTCCACAGAAGACAGAAATTCTGTAAAGACAATTACTCGGGCAACCTGCTGCTATGACAATATCTGTGGCAGGCTCTTTGACATGTGTACAATCAAGAAAAACTAAATTTTCATTGCTTTCACCACTCTCTGAAAATCTCTGACCAAAAAACCCCACAATAAACCACAGCAAGGGTTTCTGTAACAGAGAAGGGCCTGACACGTGCCACATAGATTGGATGCAAGCCTCAGGAAGAGGCACTGTGTGCCATCTCTAACAAAGCAAGAAGGCATAGGAGGGCTGGGAGCAACGGACACAGTCAAGAGTTCTTCATGACAGTGGCCACAAGGAGACAGCAAACACACAAGGGACCTACACGGCACAAGAGACTCACACTGGCAAACTGGTCAGATTTTCCGCTTCCTTCCAATCATGATCTCTTCCTGCCACAGACTTCATAAAATTTTTCTTCTCCCTCCCCCTGCCTAGCCTGAACTTCTCAGCTGCCATTCTATCAGTATCTGCTCAGCTGCCTTGCTCCTGACAGTGAGTCATCATTATTTCCTTGGAAGGCTGCAAGCAGGCATATGTTACAACCAACCTAAAGAAACCTCTCATCACAGGTTTTGAACAGTGGCAGTTAATTAAGCATTTCAGATACAGTGGCAAAAAAAAAAAAATCAATCAGTTCTTCAAATACTGCTTGGCATAATCATTTGATACTATCCTGGATGGTCATTCAAGTAATTAGATTTATATGACCTGCCCTAAGCAAGCTACAAAATTCATTACCTTAAAAAGCAACTCTAAAAATAAAGCTAACTGCTCAGGTTTTGATGTAACATATTGCTGTGAATGTGAGCACTTTCAAGACTTTCAAAGGAGCAGAAGTGCAATGGAAGATACCTAACCCTCCAAGAAAAATGTTCTCATCAAATTCTTCACCTCCTTTACATTGCAATTCTTGTAGAAGACAATATTCTAATAACCTTAAATAACAAATAATTCCACCATGCAACTGTTTTCAGGTCAGCAAATGTGTCTTTCAGCTAACCTACGCTTCCTAAATGCTGAGAGGAAACCCTGTTTAGAAGGAATTTCTGGCTGAACTGCATTGTACAGGAAAACTACTTTCTAGGGCAAACCACTGTTTTGCTAGAGCATCTGGTATGAAAAAGGGAGAAGAAAAAGAAATTACAGAGACTATCACCTCTTGAGAACACTGCATCTCAGAAACTGTATCAGGTACGCACCTGCTCGGTCATACAGGATGTGGGATCGCTGGAGCCCTTCCTTTACGTGCTCTTCTGTTATCAGAATGCCATCTGCAGAACCATCTTTGGTAATATTCAAAGGAGTGGTCTTCCCTGCTGCTAATCTGGCCTGAACTGCTAACTGGAGTCCATTCAGTCCAGTCCTTGCATCACCGTCGCAAAGGTAGGCAAGTGTGTTTAGAGCTTTGGCCTCTATGAACACCGGGAATCTGCAATAGAATAACCACACAACATGAGCCCCCATCATGCTTATTATGCCAGGGATGATGTTTCTTTACAAAGTTTGTTGAGATGCAGTTGGGCTTAAGATTCATTCTTAACTCATCCTGCCATGATTAAGTACTGCAGAGCCAGGGAGAACACCGTGGGACCCAACCCTCTTCCTCCTGATCCAATGCCTGTTAAATAAAATTGCACATGAAAAATCTAGGGATGAACTCTCATCTATTTGACCCCCTTATTTTTCCTACCTCATTAAACTCAACTAGGAAACTAGGGTTAGGTTTTTGCCAGAGCACAATTCTCACACAGCCAGTTGAACTTTACACAAGGTTTTACTCCATCACCATTTCAAATTCCTTGTTGGAAGAACAATGAAAAGGTAGAAAGCTATCCAAATGCAGCTGAGAGAATATAGTGAGTTATAAAGTAATTAGCATACGGTTTTGAACTAACTATCAATAGCAAGAGCTGCTGTTTTCTTTAAAAAGCAGCAACTGGAAGGATTGTTTATATTGTAAAGTATATGCATCCTGCTTTTCTTTTTTTGGTATGGTATTACAGCTTTAGTCAGTGGGGTACAAAAAAAAAAATCTTCCTATAAAGAAATGGCATCCCAATACATGCACGTCACTCTTCTTGCCATCTACTACTCTAAGTGTGCCAGGACTATACAAATACATTAAAAAGGCCAAATTTCAGCAAACTCACAATCTGAACGAACAACATGGGAAGAGCTAAGAAATAGAGCTGCAGGTGAAGAATCTCCTGAGATCTCATAGTGGGTCTATGAAAACTCTGGGAGAACAACAAAGTCCTCAAGCTTTGTCTCCAGGTTTTCATCTAGCGGGCTGCAGTCCCCACTGTTGGGGCACATACAAACCAGCTCACCCCTGCACATGTCACGGACATACTGTTGAGGATTTAACCCTCAAACTTTAGTTAGGTAGACAAGGTAACACCTAGGATGTTTGCCAGGCAGAGGATACAACTGATTTGATTGGAAACAGTGCTAATGGAGTTAAAACATGGCATTAAGTAATGGCCTAACTGAGCCATTTCCAGTAACTGGACTGTAAGTCAAGAGTGACATGTATCAGCAGGGATTAGCACACAGAGCTTGGTGTGAGAGGCACTTTCTTATGAAGCTCTTGTGTGTCAAATAATTAGGGATTCACAACAGCCCTGCACTTCATTCACCAAAAAGATATATTACTGTTATTACCAGTGGTGTACAAAAAGACAATCAATCCCAAGTGTCCCAGGAACATGTACCCACTGATCTTCATTACTTGACTCTTCCTCCTTGCAAACCCACTTTGCACTTGTCACACAAAAGAAAAGGACTGTAAGTCCCGGAAAAACTTCAACAGTTAATATTTGAGTCCTCTCATGGCAACACGTAAGAGCGAAAAGCTAGTAGAGCTGCAATCTTAATCCACACCACTGCAAGTGAAGGCTAACAAATGTCTTCTAGGGGCAAAACCCATGCTGCAGAGAGTAGGCAGCAGGAATCACACCCTGTGGGAAAAATAAATCTATATACACATCTCGTCATACCTTTTTTCCATCTTCTCATTTCTTCTCTATTTGATAAAGCTAGGAAAAAAATTTAACACACATACAGTGGCACTTTCGCCAGGTGCTTCAAACACCATCTTTGTGTTTGAATGAGGAAACAGAAGAATACAACAGCACAGTCAATTATCTCAGGCATCAAATTCCTTGAAATCAGGGAGCAACGTTCATGCCTCAGCAGTACAGACAGGTATCAGATTTTTCATATGCATTGAAAAAAGCCAGCAAGGGAAGCAAAATCAATTTTTAAAAAAACAGCAGGCGCTACACACAGACATCCTGCTGCTATTACCTTCATCAACAGGGAACAAAACCAAATATACGGTACACTGAATAAACACTTTGGATACACCAGCAGGGCATACTGAAGAGAAGGTTTCATCTGCAAGGACTAAGTTCTTTGCCCGCTGTTTGCAGAGAAGAACACCATGCACTTGAGGCCTCCTCAAACTGACACCCACCACCAACACACACAGCGACTGCCAAGTGGAAGGAAAGTGCTGAAAGTATTAAAAAGCAGGTACGACACTTGGAAGAAGCTGCATACAGTCTGTACCAAACCAAGTTGAGGCTTCAGGGCACTTTTGCCATTTATCTGCTAACTAGAAGCTTGGCAAAAAAAGCTGAGTTGTATTCCTGTCTCTTCAATTTCACTCTACGACTCTAAGTGCCCTGCTTGCTCAACACAAGCAATTTATATCACAGAAATTGCAACAAATATTCACAAGAAAGTATGGAAAATCTGGTTACAAGCGAAGATCTTGTCCACTTCCGTGGCAAAATTCACCTCTCACCTCAGCAACTCATTTCCTGCAAGGAAATTGGATAGATGTTCCAAATAAGGAGTAATTTTCAAAGGGGTATTGAACACTGAAGACCCAAAGGAATTCCATCTTCAATGTTGTGATTTACAAGCCAGTGAATTTAAAACGTGTCAGAACTTGTGATACACCCAGTAACTAGATGAACTGCATGATGTCTGAGCTTGCCAACAGGAAACCGGGAATCCTTTCATTTCCCTCAGCTGAGTGCCTTCTGCGCTATCTAACTTCAAAGACATTAATCCACTATCCAGTTTACTGCCTGACTTCAATTAGAGCTACCACTCTGAGGGCAGTACTGGAATGATAAAAATAAAAAGCCAAGAAAAGAACTTGATTTCCTCCATCACTGACACAGTAGTAGTGTCAGTGTACACTATTACTGTACACCTGGCACAGTTTGTGCTACTACTGAGGCAGCATAAACTTCAGAAAGCACAAGCAAAGGTGCAGCAATATGAAGCATCTTCAATATTGACTTCTTACTCTTCTACATCCTGAATATGTTTCGTCCTTTCCTGTTACCCCATCTTTCAGTTTGATTTACTGCAGACTTCATAGGCACAGTTTGATGGCAGTAATGCTGGTGAAAAAGCACAAAGCACATCTTATCCTAAAGAAATACAGTAACTAACATAAAAACTGTCAAAGAAGCTTTATGAGCCATGATGACACAACAAAGATGCCAAAGTAGGTAATACCTCCTGCTAGTCCTGTTTCAGCTTTAGAGCAAGAAAAGGCAACAGTGGAATGCAAGAGAAGCCAGGTGACCTAACCCTATCAGAAGCCTGCAACAATGGTGGAAGAAAGATAAGAAAAATCCACCAAGAAAATTTAAGAGAACAGATTTGGGTAGAGCACATTTTCCTTGTGGAGGGCCGATGATGAAACCATTGAATCACAAAGTGATGGCTGCATTCTTTTTGAGCACAGAAGATGCCTGTAGAGACTAAGGAAGATTCACCCCTCATCTTATTCTTCAAGGTAGTAGGAGAGACCACAAAGAATCATGCTCTTCTTCAGAATCTCATTTAGGTAAGTCGTCATGTCAGACAAGTGATGTGATACCAAAACCATCTGAAAAACTGAGGCCAAGCAGCACATTCAGTACTTCATACTGTGGCTTGGAAAAAGGGACTCACATGGGAAATTAAGTCCAAAATTCAATGTACACATATCTTGTGCCTTCTGGTTAGATCTCTGCAACATTTTCAAAGCGGGCATACCCCACCATCTGGGGACACACTGCCTTACAGCTCCTTTTCTAACTCTGGAACAAATGTGAGCACAGTTAACAGTCAAATCAGTTGTAACTCGTGACTTTAATTTATTCCTCAAGACATCATGAACAGTTACCTTCCTGCATCTAATGACAGTCCTGCGTCATGGAAGCGGGGTGGTCAAAAGGTATGAGACAGCTGCTCCTGCGGAGTAGTAGGTGGAGAAGAAATGAAGGAGCAGAAATGGTATGAACAGTGAAGCAAGAAGATGGAATTAATGAGGCGGCCAAAACCAGAACCACAGTAAGGGACAGGATGGATTATAAAAAACCTAAGTCATCAGCAACTCTATGTAGCCTCTGTGGACCAGAACCAGATAGTGTCAGAAAAGACAAAACCTGACACACAACTGCAACAAACTCTCCTCAATTCAAACCCCTATTTTTATTTTCAAATGCTTGACTCCCACGTTAGCCATTGGAGTGTGGCCCTCTCTCTTCATGGAGAGATTACTGAAACTGTGCTACTCTGACAGTCTGCCTGCCAGACTTCTTTCAGTTTGATGAAGCACTACACTATGCTGTTTAAATCACCCATAGCTATTGGAAGGTTACAGATACAGAGTCTAGCGAAACCCAAACCCAAACAACTGCAGCTGAAACTATGCCTTGTACTTTAATCCTGTGTAGCAAAGAAAGTCTCTGAATCCCAGTCAGGGTGTAGCCACAACCACAGCTGTGCCATTACATTAAGGCTGACATGCAGTACTCCCTTCTCTTCTAAAATTCACATTACTACAACATGTAAAAGCAACAGATGAGTAAACTATGAGGCAGGGTAATCTAAAATCAAAAAAGAAATACCTTTCCTTACAGCCCTGACCTCAGCATTCAGATTGGCGATTCTTAGTGCTTACGTTCTGTGATAAAGTTCAAGCGGATTCCCTCTCATTTATTTCATACAGACTGCCTGCCAATCACCACCCTGTCAATGCACTGTAAATTACTAGTAGTGTAGCCAAGAACCAACATGAAGGAAGTGTAAGAGCTTGCATGTGAATACCACAGTACCAAGCATTACGCTTATTTGCCAGCCTTCCATTTCAGAAGGCAGATAACATCCCTTATGGACAAATCCGGACCTTGTCTTTTTCCAAAATTTTCTCAAGTATTTAATGGGACTCTATCTGGCCTGGACATTAAGGAGCAGAGAAAAATGAAGTCTCTTGACATCTCACAGCAACAGCCTCCTCTCCTCAAAGGATACCTAAAATGTAGCACAGCACAAATCCTGCAACTAAAGAATAGGAGCAGCAGCATCCTCCCTGATCGTATTAAAAAAAAATTCTCAGAAAACAACAAACTTTTGTCAGGCATTTTCAAATTAATTAAGAGGGGATACTTGGTCCACTACTGAACGGTAACATGATGCTTTTACAACCGGTAACAAGAAGTAACACACACCAGGACATGACAAAGACCCAGTTACAGACTTCCACAGCAAATCCTCAGCAGCAGAATGGATTTAAATATCCTGTGAGGGTGAGTCAGGAGCTACAGATCCAAGCATAAGATTCTCTCCTAATCCAGACGGTAAGATTATGTTTTGGATGGAGAGAGCCAATGCTTTGAATTCTCTCTCTCCTGTCACCCCCGCCCCTGCCATATGCTGCCACTTCTTTTCTTTACTATCAGAAGTGGCTAGGGTTTCTCTTCCCACCCCCCAACTGCTTCATTCTCTCCCTGGCAGGCAGTCAACTCCTCGGGCCGTGTGTGTTAACACCCTGCAGCCCATAAAGTACTCACTCTGAGCTCTCACTGCCGCTGCCAGTTGCAGAGCTGCTGTGCTGGTCGCCCTGGCCCAAAACCTGGACCCCTAAGGACCTGACGGCCCGCATCAGAATTGCCTCCATTGCTTCCACCGAGAGCTTCTCCAGGACAATCACCCGGCACCGGCTCAGAAGAGCGGCATTGACTTGGAAGGAAGGGTTTTCTGTGGTCGCTCCTATCAGGGTCACCGTCCCGCACTCGACGTGAGGAAGGAAAGTATCCTGAGGATGGGAGGGAAGCAGAAAAAGCTGATCTCGATTAACGACAACCTGAAACATCCCAGGTGAGTAAGCTGTGGTTTTTTTGCATCTTGTGAGTCTTTGGGTTCCCTGACAAGGCAGTTCATCTGCGCAGATATGTAAATGATTTAATTTCATGCACCTAACATGCTACAGGCTGTTCATCTTAATAACAAATGGTTGGAATGAGAATGACCTCACCCGATGAAAACAGAGTAAAAAAATCTGCAAATTTTTGGTTTATTTATAGGGATTTGATTTATTGCTTGGCAAATTTCATAAGAAATCATGAAATTGCCTTATCAAGTATTATGAATAGTGAGGCTACGCTATGAACCAACCTTTGGGGCTACAGTTCCCTACATAATTCTAAAGGATGGCTCAAAAAACTACAGGAAGATTGCAGTACAGTTCAATATAAAAACTGTAATTTGTAGTGCAGCATTCAAGCTTTCTATGTTACAACTAAAGAAACTTTATAACTAGAAAAGGAAAAAGAAAAAAATACCCAAAGTGATGGCTGCAGCGTTATCCCAAAGCACCATGCCATGCCTTACTTTTTCTCACAGAGTAGAGGGGACAACATTAAAATACATACCCTTGGCACATTCACATTCCAGACCTTTTTAAAGGTAAGACAGAATGCTACCATGAGGTGGAGGCTGAAATGAAGATGTGTGCAGCAAATACTACTAACATGACTTGGCAGAAATAAAATTTCAGAAAAATATCATATAAGGACTTGCATGTAAGTCAACTATAACTCACCCTTTCATTTATATCTTTGAATCACAATAATTAAATGCTGGTTGGAAGTAAGTTAAGGAATTTAATTTTTATGTTTCTTCCTAATTCACCTACTAAACACATTAACATTGAAATCAAAAGCCCAAAGGAAGGTGTCATCTTAAGGTAAAGTAGGAAATTTTACAGAAGTGCTGACAAAAGCTTTTTTCAAAAAGCCGTGTAGTACAATACCTGCTGAGATTTATTGAAACGATGGATCTCGTCAATAAAGAGGATAGTTTTTCTCTTGAAGAGCCTTCTTTCATTCTGGGCTTGGCTGATGACATCTCGAACATCATTTGTCTTGGCACTTGTGGCTGACAGTGTCACAAACCTTGTGCCATTCTTTTTGCTGTTGTTGGCTATGATGTGTGCTAGTGTAGTCTGAAACAGTAATAGGAAAAAGCTTTGTAAAAATCATTTTGGACACAGTAAGTACCTATTTGAAGAAAATATGTAAAGAGCAAACCTATATATTTTGGACACGGGGACAGTGTTGACAGTTTATACAGTAAGCCATTTTAGTCCATGTTATTCTAGCACATTGAAGACTTCTAAACTTCCTGCTAGAGGTAGCTGCCAATTCCTCTGCTGCATTTCTAATGCCTGCACTTTTACGTACCAGACCCAGTGAGTCTCAATACTGAAAAGGCCACCAATGACAGCTGTCTCCTTTATCATGGAAGAAGAACTCTTTGCCAAATACATATCTGTCACAGAAGACAGGCTGACTGCAATTCACTGTGCAGTTATTTTGTAAAGTATGTTAATAGCTAAAGAGCTGGACTATCCCAAGACACCTGCAGCAGAGTTTACAGTGCAACCACATTTCACAGATTCACAGAATATGCTGAGTTGGAAGGGACCCACAAGGATCATCAGGTCCAACCCTTAGCCCTGCACAGGACCAGCCCCAAGAGTCACACCATGTACCTGAGGGTATCATCCAAAAGCTTCTTGAACTCTGGCAGACTTGGTGCTGTGACCACTTCCCTAGGGAGCCTGTTCCAGTGCCCAACCACCCTCTGGGTGAAGAATCTTTCTCTATCTCTATTCTCATATCCAACCTAAACCTCCCCGACACAACTTCAGGCCATTCCCTTGGGTCCTGTCACTGGTCACCATAGAGAAGAGATCAGTGCCTGCCCCTCTTCTTCCCCTCATGAGGAAGTTATGGACTGCATGAGGTCTCCCCTCAGTCTCCTCTTCTCCAGGCTGAACAGACCAAGTGACCTCAGCCACTCCTCATACAGCTTCCCCTCAAGGCCCTTCACCATCTTTGTTGCTCTCCTTTGGATACTCTCTAATAGCTTAATGTCTTTCTTATATTGTGTACATCAAAAGTGCACACAAAAACATAACCTACAATGTTGTTAATTAAACCCTTTTCTATTTCCAATACATATGAAAATGAAATTAATCAGACAGCAGTTTCTACAAAATCATGGGAATGTTAGTACTGAAAAATTATATATGTGCTTAAGAAAATGTAACTCTTAAACCTAAATAGTCAACAGTAATCAAATGCTGGCCCAGGGAAGTAAAAGACAGCTGACTGAACAAGCTGTTGGCTGTTTTTAGTGAGCAGCTATGTTGTTTTTCTTTCCTTATGAACAACCTCTTCAAACCAGAATTTATATATACAGAATTTCTTGAAGCCTAACAAAGCACAGAAGCAACCTCCAGCAACCTCCTAGGTAGATTTATTACACCTGAAAACATCACAGGCATGATTTTCAGACTTTCCTTCACAACCCTTAGTAAAGGAGGGTGTATCTGCATGTCCCAAGTAGAGCGTAACTCTATTTGAAATCACTGCTAGAGAAAACAAGTGATTCTTCCATCAAGCACACTCTTCTATTAAAGAAAGAGCCTGAGAAGAATGAAGACAGGAGAGCCTCAAAAGATGAGGAGTGGGACAGGTGCTGGCAAAACCACCTCAGAAGATGTTCCAAGTGCTGAGGTTAAAGCAGCAGGTGCTGTCAACCTGATCCTCTTGCAGGGAGGCTACAGAAACAACCACCTATCACTTGGCTACCGGTGGTGTTGCAGCACTGCTCTGTCTCTTTAATGGATCTCCTTGTCTCAGAAATGGCAACCAACCCAAGATGGAAAAGCAGGGGCTAAGGAGGAGGATGTATCACTATTTATTCTTGCTTTAGTTTTAGTAAGGGCTTTCTGATTGTTTTCAGAAGTGGTGTCATTTCAGGTCCTGATACAAGACTCGTATTCCATGTCAGATCTTCCCTCATTCCCTGGAGCTCAAGCAACCAGCTCCTCTCCAACTTGTATCACTACAGAAGACAAGACTTGAAAGACACTTAGAAAGTGTTTGCAGCAAAGCCTACAGAAATCAGGAAGATCTGGAAAACAAACCAACCAACCAAATATCCTCCCCTCAAAACAAAAGGAAACTATCTTTGAAATTAAGCTACCAAATGAAAACCAAAGTTTGTGTTTCCTTACAAAAGGGCCTTGATTCAGAATGTACCTTCAGAGGATATACCCATGCCTTAAAAATCTCTGGAAGCATGGAAAACCCCCAATATATCAAAGCTGAGGATGAAAAAGGAAAAATGTATCTCTTCCTCCTCTAAAAGTGGCAGTGGTGAGAGGAGGAAGAAAAATGAAAAATAAGTCAAATGGCTATTCTTCCTGTAGCTCCACTTGGACTGGTAGCTCACAATGTACCCTGGCTGTCATTCAGAGAATTTTGTTGTTTACAACAAAAGCTGTGAGGAATTTGTTTTACACACATGCAGGAGTCCATACTTCCAACACTAATTTAGGAAAATGAAATACAAAGAGATTTGTTTGAAAGTTACTGTTAGACCAAGAATCTACTTGAAAACTGCTGCACAGCTCTCAGTCAGCACGTACCCCTCCTGCTCTGCCAAGTTTGGGGTCACTAAAGGTTGTAATAAGAATAACATACATTGCCTTTCAAAAGCAGTGTTAGACATGGACAGGCATGTTCACAGTCTCTTTCTTCTGTTTTGCACAATTAATCATGTAGCAAGTCTAACTGCCTATCACATACAGATCAAACTTTCTCTGCCTCTGAAAGACTATTATTTCCCATGAGCTCAGGTTTTTTATGCTGCTGCTTCTCTCACCATCTCAAGCAAAAGTCAGTAACATTCCACACTGTTTTTTCCCTGTGTTACTTCAGGTTACAACCTAAGAGAACACATAACCTAGTGGAGACTTAAGTAGGGTTGTTTAAGCATGAAGGCACTAGCACAGAACAACTATAACTCATATGCTAGACCCGTAGTTTCCCCTCACTAAGTTCAGAGGCAATGCATTTAAGGGATAAGAAGAAAATCAGAAATCTGATACGAAATAAGGTAGAAGAAAACACACTGAATATCCTTCACCATCTAAAATAATTCTGAAGTTTGACTGTTACATTAGAAAACAAGTCTTTTAAAATAGTAACACTGATGTTGCAATTTAATATGAATTAATAATACATCTGTATTAGAACTGCATAACAAGCAGGAAGAGGAAATCTAAACAAGTTGATAACCCACTCCTTTTATTATACAGGTTTTTCTTAATTAGCTTGTGTTCTTTTCTTATGGGGAGGAGCAGAAATATTGTTTCCCACAAATTAAGAATAGGAGTGATTCTACAAACTAACCTGTTACTAACTTCACTAAAAATTACACCTTACAAAGCTCACAGTCCTTGCCCCTTCCAGAAATCATTCTCGGTTCTATTATCACACCAAACTATCCAAGGTCACACCTGTCATCTCAAGCTTTATGCTGAAAATTGTGAGACCTTACTGACTTACCTGTTTAGACAAGCTAAAGCAGTGCCATTATATAAGGAGCTGTTCTGAAACACAAAAACATATTCACCAAGAAACTCCTGAACCATTCATCATTCATGGCTAGGCTTCATGAACGAAGATTTAGGAAGGCTCTACCCACATTTGTTACAAGCGCGCTGGTGGCTAATGAGGCCAATATGAGATAGACATGTCTGATTGCAAAAGGCACAGCAGAAAGACTCCTTAGGTGGTATATTCAGCAAGGTACGATTCTTTCTGCGTTGTCTTTTCTCCTCGAGAGTGATCCTGCGTGCGTTCTCAAAGGAAGCAGCAGCGTTATAGATGGTGTGTCTCCAGGCCTCCTGATTTGAGGCCAGAGTAGACCAGTTATGGTGATCAATATGGCCAAGGCTGAGATCTTGTTTCAGGGAGTCCTTGTATCTTTTCTTCGGGGCTCCTCTCTTGCGGCAGTCAGTGGCAAGTTCACCATAAAGCAAGATCCTAGGGAGGCGGCATCTCTCAGGAGTTGGCTTCATGATCAAAAACTCTATTGTTCCTAAACTCAAAAATCTGCTGACAGGTCATTCTGACAGCATTATCTCCCTACACCTTCCACTACACAAAATGCAACATGTTGTCCTCCTGAATCATTACTCACCAATCAATAACACTTTCAACTTCAGCCTGTGGTCATTTATTTTCAGACCCACTACACACAGAACAAACACTTAACCGCTGAAGCCTTCCTTTACTGTCCTGTACATTGCTTTGTATCAGCCCAAAAAGGAATATCCTCTCCTATGGGCTGCAACCATAAAAAACCCAGCAACCAAACACAAAAATAGCCAAACAAGCTCACTGTAAGCCAACTATGCTACCAGTTCTTCCAGGCTTTGATACAAGTTAGGGATGAAACAAAAGGAACCCATAAAGCATGCTTGACTCCACACACCTCTCACTGTCCAGCAGAAAAGTCAATCCAATTTGCTGTTTGGTTAGCTGGCTGTTTGTACTAGGAGACAAGAATTTTCTGTATACCCACAAGTTTCCGTGACTGGGCAACTCTCTTTAATTTCTTCCCTACCCTCTGCACTGTGACTAGTCAATGCAGCTTCAAACCCATAGATGGAAGAAAACAAGAAGCAAGTACTAATTAAGCCACTTGTATTGATACTGATGTTCAGTGACTAACACTACGTTATTAGAATTAAGGTAGTCTTTTGATTTTTGCACTCCTTTACTAGACCATTAAAATATGCCCATTGTGTTAGCTCACCAAAGCCCCTTACAGGAATGAAGAGTGATACTGCCTAGCTGTCTTCAAAAAGTGGAACTGAAAAAAATTGGGAAAAGATCAGAATATATGGTCAGATCATAGTCAAGAAGACTTGAGTCAAGAAGTTGACTGTGAAACCTAAGATCATTCCTAACTTTTGTGCAGATCAGGTAGATCTTGTTTAGGGATTTGCCTAAGGTTGTCTGTTCATGGAGACTTCCCTTAATCATTCTTACATAGCATAAATTTAGTGAAACAACCACTGCAGATGTCAGGCACAGAAAACACATGATCTATCAATTACATCTATCCTGTCATCAGCTTTCA